GCGCAGCCTCGACCTTGACCCGGCGGCGGCGAGCCCGCGCCCGCTGTGAGCCCCAGCGCCCGCCTCGCAGCTTCGCAACACTTTCGCAATCTTCCCGTTTTAGGCTTTCCATATAACGTTCGTAACGACAGAGCATCTCGCGATCCATCAATTATACATTTCGTCACAGCGGCCGCGGCGTCTGCGCCGTCTGTTGGCTAACTCCATACATTCATACACGTGTGTATGTTATGAGGCGTGGCCGCCCTTCTAATCGTCCTCTCACCGGCAAAGCGACCTCCGTTCCACAACTGTTGTTTGTGCGACTAATTTGCAGAAACATTTTATAACGTTTTTTTTTGTTTTGATATTTCAAAACGGCCAGTATCTATATTAAAACTAATGTATTTGTTTACAAATGAAGATTTACAAATATGTATCGAAAATTGCCATTTGTTTAACTATTTTAAGTAGTTAGGTTTAAGAATATTATGTACTTATGTACAAGTGAAATGTCGGGATATATTCCACTAGCGGTCGTTACTCGCGTCTTGTCTTGTGATGTAATACTCAGTACAAAGTCTCCAGCTGTGATAAAAGTCTACTTTATTTTGGAAAATCCACATTTCATTGCCTATGTAATCGATGTCCACTTGTCTACCAGTACTTAGGTACTTATTTTAAGTTTTTTTCTTATATTTTTTATATGTTACAAATAATAATCATCATCAAATGGGTAACAATAAAGCTTGCCAAGTTGAAGTTAGTTTTTTTCCCCGTTAATCTGACGTCATCAAATTTTAATGGAAATTTCTACGTTTTTTCTAGTTTATATAAACCTAAAAATGAGGTCAGAGTCATAAATATTTGTACTGTAATAAGACAGTGAGGCTCTCGCGTGTGACAATTAGAGTCTATTTGTTACAGAGCGTAACGTAACAGAGCTTTCCGCAGGCGGATATTGCATTGTAGTGCAAAGGAAATTAAAACGACCAGAATGCGTGCAGTTTGGAGCTGCTTGTCGTAAAATGTAACTGCTTTGTTAAATGTACTAATGAAAGGCTATAGTCTAAAAATAATACGAACAACTTCATTATATTTTACTTATTTATTGAGATAAACAAACAGAACAAAATTATGACATACACACGTAACATGCAAATAATTTGTCCTAATTACAGGTTTGCACGACTAACTTTAATATAACCACTCCAAGTTTATTCAAATGAATAACATAACGAAGTTCTTGTAAGTTAGAATAATGCGCGTTGCATAATTCCCACGACATTTGGAATCAACTATTCTGAGTGAACCTTGAAAGCAATTTAAAACTTGTAACTTGATGTTTCTGCTTATATTATGTTATTGTATCCACTCAGTGCATAGCGAACTAATAGGCGGTTTCCGACCTTCTTTAACCATTCGACAGTGCTTATCGATATATCGATAAATTCTTCAAATCAGGTTCCGAACTACATAACTTTACTCTTTTGAAATATAGGTTAACCTAACACTGAATAATTAGGTAATGATAAAATAAATGGAACTTTAGAAACTCAGCATCAGAGAGCGTTGGAGACATGAGTGGTTTATAATTCCGTTGTTTTAAGGAGATGTGAGAGGTTACTAATACAATATATCTTGTGAGTTTAAAGATAATTGTTATACCGTTATAATTACACGAGAGCATATTACAAGATCTTTTACTGGTTAGTCAATGTTTTAGAATAGCTATAGAATATTTAAAGTGATTTTTTATCTTAGCAACAAAATGAAATTAGACAGCGCAGGTTCGGTAAGTGGAGGTTACTTAAGTGTACTGCCAGTTGGGGAGACAGTGGTAGCGACATGCAGCCTGAGGACTGAGCGTGTACTCGTGTTGCAGTCGAAGCTGAACTGCGAGGTGCTGCTGGACGAGCTGGCGTTCGAGGTGCGCTGGGCGATCGCCGGCGACAGCATCGTGGTGCAGCTCGTCGCCAAGATAGGTAACTACCACATACTATC